AGAAGAAATTTGGACAAAAAGCGAGTTTGTTCACACATCAGAAATTAGTTCATAAAAAACAAGAAGATCACTCATGCAACAAGTGCGAGAGAAAATTTGAAAATAAATTAACTCTGCTTAAGCACAAAAAAATATTCCATGAAGTTTTCAAAGATTACTTGTGTGACAAGTGCGCCAAGAGATTTGGAAATAAACATGGTTTGCTTGTGCACATTAAGACAGCCCATGAGGGGCGTAAAGATTTTGCATGCAACGAGTGCGAGAAGATATTCGGAAAAAAGTCAGATTTGATCAGGCACCAAAAAACAGTCCATGAAAGTCGCAAAGATTATGCATGTAATAAATGCGAAAAGAAATTTGGACAAAAAGTTCATATGCTGAAACACCAAGAGGCAGGCCACGAAAATTGCATAGATTACGCATGCAGCCAATGCGAGAAGAAATTTAGGGAAAGACGATCTCTGCTTTTGCACCAGAACATAGCACACGAAGGTCAGAAAAATTATCCATGCGACAAATGCGATAAGAAATTTAGATTAAAACAGAATTTTCTTGTACACCAAAAAACAGTCCATGAAGGTCGCAAAGATTATGCATGTGACAAGTGCGAGAAAAAATTTGGGGTTCAAAGTAATTTAATAGTACACCAAAGAACAATCCACGAAGGTCGCAAAGATTTTTCGTGCAATAAATGCGAGAAAAAATTTGGACATGAAGTATACTTGCTTTTGCACAAAAAAACAGTACACGAAAGTTGTAGAGACTTCGCATGCGACAGTTGTGAGAAGAAATTCGGATATAAACATTCTTTGCTCTTGCACCAAAAAATAGTTCATGAAAGTCGCAAAGATTACGCATGCAATAAATGCGAGAGGAAATTTGGACAAAAATCGCATTTGCTTTTTCATCAGAGGACAATACACGAAGGTCGCAAGGATTATAAATGCGACAAATGCGAGCAGAAATTTGGAAAAAAATCGAACTTAATCATACACAAAATGACAATACACGAAGGTCGCAAGGATTTCGCATGTGACAAATGCGAGAAGAAATTCAAACGAAAATCACATTTGCTAGATCACCAAAAAACAGTACATGAAGGCCGCAAAGATTATGCATGCGAAAAGTGCGAAAAAAAATTTGGACAAAAATCGAACTTAACCAAACACAAAATGACAATGCACGAAGGTCGCAAGGATTTTGCATGAGACAAATACGAGACAAAATGATTGACAATTGTAAATATGTATAAATACTCATACATAAGTATTTCTAAAATTTCAATAAAAATTGTGTCAATATGATTGTGTTTCACCCGAACCTCGTGGTATGAACTGTCATTATACCTTTCTTCAATGTCGTGGTGGTACAGGGTGCTTAATTGTTAAACTAAATCAAATTTCGTGAACTGCTAATTACTAATCTCCGTAATTTTTTGGCTACTTAAATTCTGCAGGTCTTTATGCAACGATCGCAGCCGAGAGTTATTTTTTTTTTTTACTTATTGTTTAGAGCTGTGAATCGGACGAGAAATTATTTTGCTACTGAATTTGATTGAACTTCTCATATAATAATACGTGACCCCAATTATCAAAGATGCGCTACAGAAATATTTTGATGAATTTGCCGCACATATTGATTAATTCGGGATCGGTAATCAGTGATCGGTATAATAGCAATATATTATACCTAAAAAAGTTAAAGTGAAGAGCATGTAATGATTTAATTTAAATCACAAATGATTCCTAAATTTTTTTCCAAATCAGTAAGAGGGTCTCAATTTTTCTCTCCTTCTCCCAGTACTTATTTATCAATCCAAAACTATTGAGGAAATCAACAGCGACAAATCAATTTGACGCGTCAAAATACATCTACACCGAAAGCCCAGCGTATGTAGATAAATTTGTACCGCGCGATATCTAGAGTATATAGGAAAATTTGTCAGATTACCGATTTTTATGGAGGCAGTAATACGAGCTACCGGAAAATTTCGCGTTATCGACTGTGTGCCGCGAGCCGATGAGTTTTCGCACGCCTACGCGCGTCATTCATCGTAAGCTCCCTCTCTCCATCTTTTTCTGCCTTTCGCAGCTTCCTGGACCGAAGAAACTGCGATATCGCGAGACGGCACGTACGCACACGTAAACGACGAGTCTATATATTGCAAGTGCAAATCACGTAACTGCACCGTGTACGCGCTCGAGTTTTTGGCTACATGTATACCAATGTGCTATACACTTGTAGACTTCGAGAGGTGTTCTATACGTCAGACATTATTACGAACGAGCCAACATAATCATATGAGTCTGTGCACTGGTCTCTCTCTTCTCGACAGACTGCAACGACGCCTCGTTGTTAAATACGCGATATTTCGGATGTGTATTCGCGCGCACGTACTTATCGCTCGCCGCGACTATTTTCACTTGCTCCATAATTCGCCAGAGAGCCGTCTCGAACCTATACGAGTTAAGCAACCTTATGGACTTTTGCGGTGTTCGCGTCGTCGCTCGCGTGGCGAGCTTTCGAAACGGAAAATAATGTAGAAGCGATAATAATTGAATTTCCTCGTCGGGACCCGCGGCGAAGCGACATTTCGTTAGTAGAATTATTAAACGAGACGATCGATCGTCTCTCGAATATATATTTTTATTATTTACGCACAAACGTTTGTGCACCACGCAGTCGTGTAACGATTGTCGGCTGTAAATGAGCGATTTATCTCGCGAGCTGCTCTGTGCTCTGCTCCGAGCGCGTCGGCGAAAAGTAAAAGTGCTATAGTATATACGAGAGCCGGTGCGGCGGCGCGAGCGACTTTTCATAAGCCGCACTCACACGTGTGTTACATATATTATAAATTTGAACTAAAAAATCGTTTTAGCCCCGCGCCGGCCGAGAGTTCGGTATTATCTATACACGTGCATGAGGTCGACTCTACTATACTTGTGCTGCACAATATATAACGTATAAACGAGTATACCGCGTGCGGCCAGCGCGTATAAGAATGGCGATAATTGAATTTGCTTCGGGCGTCGAGTGCAGCCTCGTGCATATATACACCGACAACAACAACAACTCGCGTGAGCAGCTCCGTCCGCTCCAATATGCAAAACTATATATATATACATAATAACGATGCCATTTACGAGATATATATCGAACGACTCGAGCTTTTTTTTCTACCCCCTCCACGTGTCTTCTTTCGTCTTTTTCTCGCGCAGCTTTTTTTTGCGTACATGAAACAATTTTCAATTCGGATTGCGAGAGAAAGACGAGATATTTGCGAGAGAGCGCGATATGTGTGTGTATGTGTGTTACGTGTACCAGGCGCGTGCGAAATTCTCGCGCGAGCTGCGGCTTAACGCACCGTCTTAATGATTGTTCATTAAGAGACTCGAGAAAGGTCACTTTTAATGGTACCCTATAGATACACAACACCTCCGTGTGGTCTGTTGGTTTTTCGTCTATTTTTTGTTTGTTTGTGTAGCTCGCGTGGCAATAGATAATTATAACGATATAGATATAAATTGTGATTTTACTAAGAAATCTGAGAAAAAAAGGACCTCGCGTTTCGCCGACTCATAGTAGTGAGAAATTCACGTAATACGAGTACATAAATAAATTTGAAAATATGAAAAAAAATGAAAAAAATATTTCCTAGAAATCTTTTTTCTGTAATAATAGGTTCAATAATATTAGGTGCAGCAATAGTTGATAGTTTATTGAATATAGGCTTAAACTATGTAAAATATAATACGGGATACCTTGTTTTTGTAATTACAATACCAAAAACATTCAATGTTATTTTTCCCACTGATTCGTCTCCTCAACTCATTGCCTTAATTAAATTATTTACACTCAATTTGATTAATACTGTGATTCAACGATACTGAGCATATCAGTGACAGATCGGTGAGTTTGCGACAAATGTTTATATTTTCGAGATTTACGATGATTTTATTCACACGATGTAATCGTAAAGATGTTACTATTAACTCGTAAAATAAATTTGCAGTTGGTAATGCCGATCTCGCATTCCATATAATCTTTCGCTTATAAGATTGTTCAAACATTATACACTGTCGTGATTTTTACTAATTAATTAATATTTAATGACATTACAAAAATTTTATGATACAGTCCCGGGCGGGCGATCCAATAGGTATAAATGAGAAAACGTGTTTCTCTCGGCGTGGCAGCAGCAGCAGCAGCAGCGGCAATAGCAGTTGCAGCTGTGCCGCCGCGTCGTGTTACAATGCTTTTGATCGATGGATCGACGCGTATTTTGCGCTCTCGTCGTAATAGATACATCGATATCGTATATAGTAATAATACGCGATATTACGTGAACAATGCACGACTCGTGTACTTGATCCTTTTTTTCGGCGAAATGCACTCAAACCGCGACTGTGCGCGCGCGCAGAAATATGAATATTGTAATACCCCGGTGTATAACGTGAGATATTGGCTAAACGTTGAGAAACGCGTGAAAAATGTTGCAACTGCTCGGCTACACGTATACATAATAAATACTATCGGCCGCCGATCTGACAATTAATATAAAGCCGATTTATTTCAATAGCGCGCCGATCGATACGATTTCATTATATTAAATATGCTAGCTCGAGTCGCTCCGAGGGTAAAGTATCCATCAACGTTAGATTTGCAATAAAAAATCCATACACTGTAGGCACGGAAATTAACTGAACGAGCGACTCGAACGTATCAAAAGTGCATTTATCATCTTTTGAAAGATTCATATGCTAAATAGTGTAAACGGTTTTGCGGCAATTAAGTTACCGCTTAAGTCGCGAAATAAAACTTGCAGAGTTTTGAACAATCGAAGCGCGATGAAAATTAACATCTAAATTAAGGGATTCAACATTTCATTAGCTTATAATATAATTAATAAGGGACTTTATTTTTCTCAAAAAATTTATTGATTTTCTTTTTAAATTCTAAACATCGTTTTTACATAATGCGATAATATTAGAGGAGTTTTATTATAATATTATTATCAATGGACATTTTTAAATTGGTTTTCTGAACACGTAAAAATTTATATCTTCTTCGAGTTTTAATACGTGAGTAATGCACCGGGTTTTTATGTGGGTTTTAAGACATCTCTTTCGTTTGGACGTTTCTCCACATTAACCACAAGAATGTTTAGTCCCATTATGCGTCGATTCAATATGGGTTTGAAGACTACTTTTCTGAGTAAATGACTTTCCGCAAATATCACATGCATGTTTGGTCCCATTGTGCATTGAATCGATGTGTTTTTTAAGACTAATTTTGTATGGAAATGACTTTCCGCAAATATCACATGCATATTTGACCTTATTGTGCACTGAATCGATGTGGGTTTTGAGATACCAATTTCTTGAGAATGACTTTCCGCAAATATCACATGCATGTTTGGTTCCATTGTGCATCGAATCGATGTGGGTTTGAAGACTACTTTTCTGAGTAAATGACTTTCCGCAAATATCACATGCATGTTTGGTCCCATTGTGCATTGAATCGATGTGTGTTTTAAGATTACCTTTATGTGTAAATGTCTTTCCGCATATACTGCACGTATATTTAATCCCATTGTGCACTGAATCGATGTGGGTTTTGAGATACCAATTTCTTGAGAATGTCTTTCCGCAAATAACACATGAATGAGTGACACCATCATGTGCTGATTGAACGTGCCAATTCAATTCACACTTTCTTTTATATGTACCGTCGCAAATATCACAAGAGTGAGTGACACCATTGTGCATGGAATCGACGTGGATTTTGAGATGACCTTTTGTGGAAAAAATCTTTTCACAAATATTACAAGAGTAGGTAATCCCATTGTGTATAGAATCGATATGGATTTTGAGATAACTTTTTCGTTGAAATTTCTTGCCACATTTTTCACAAGCATATTTGACACCATTGTGCCTTGAATTGATGTGAATTTTAAGATAACCTTTTTGTGTAAATGTCTTCAAGCATATATCGCATGTATGAATGATGTTATTGTGCACCGAGTTGACGTGGATTTGTAGACTACTCTTTAGTGTGAATATTTTTTTGCAAATTTCACATACATATTTGACACCATTATGCACTGAATCAATGTGCATTTGAAGATACGTTTTTGTTGACAATTTTTTTCCGTAAATATCACACGAGTGAGTGACATTGTGTATCGCATCGATATGGGTTTTGAGATTAGATTTTTGCTTAAATGTCTTTCCACATGTTTCACACGTATAAATGTTACCATTGTGCATCGTATCAATCTGAGTTTTGATTTTATGTTGATGGTCAGACATTTTTGATATTCTCCTTTTTTTACTTTGCTCGGCAAGTTCACAGTCGAGATTTAAATTCAATTGTTCGGCAGTATCACTAACATTTTCTTGTTTCACTTTCTCCGAGGGTTCTTTTTTAATCGTATTTTTCACTGTGCGCAAACAATTTTGAAAATCATCGCCAATTTTCCGTATCGTCAATGAATCAAAGTTGGGCTTGACGTCTTCACATTCAACAACTATTTCTACTTCGTTGTCAAGTTCACTTTCAAGTTTAATGTCACATTTTCGAATGGTATGAATCTATTGAAAAAATAAAGCCATATGAGAATTTTTATTATTCCACCACAATACCAGTCACAAATAATCATTACTTACGGAAGTTTCTTGCAGAAATGGCGAGAGTTGGAAGTTGTTCAAATCGGGTTTCTCGTCAATCATCTCGTTATAGTTTTGAAGCAGCGACTCATCACTAGTCTCTTCTTTTACCCTAAAATAACCCCAATAAGATCAAGTACTATGTTGTAATATTTTGACAATATCACTTTTATAAAATGAGAATTACCTGACAGCACGGTCAAATATATCACTGGATTCCATTGTTTGCAATTGTATAAACACTAACAATCAATCTTTTTGAGGTGATTTTACGCATGAAATTAACTAAACACGAAAAAATTGGCGAGGAGAGCTGTTCTCTCTTCACGATATTTTGCCAAACTGCGTCTATACGAAGATAAATTGCGACCATGAGCACCGCACAATTCTCGTGTAGTATAGCGCGCCGTTGTGGTATGCATGCACAGCAAAACACCGCGTACTTTCTGGGCAACACATTGAGAGGTCGCGTATGAGACGCAAGACGTAAACAATAGAAAATATATTTGGCTTAAATTTTGTGTTCTGAAATTTCGAAGTTATCTATTAAACGATGCAAAGTCATTATAGTAATACAATTGAAGAAATTACCTTACTTACCCCACATCCAATGAATTATGAATATTTTATAATTCGAAAAAGTGAGAAGTAGAAAAACTATTCAAATCTCACCGAGAAAGAGCGAGTAATCAATTCCAAGCCTGCAATAATCTATACGGATTATTAGAGTCGCATGCTTACTCGAGATAATCCGGTATATATCACATATTGGTGACGATCGATCGAGATAAAAGTGCGCGCGAACGAACGGATTAACAGAGAAAATTTCACACCAATGAATTTACATCGTGCGTTGCAAAAAAAACCGCGCGACCGCATATATATTGCTATAGGAATATTAGAAACTATGTACGAAGAGGTCGCGCGGAGAGCATGGAGAGCTTTGGAAAATAACGATAAAAAACAGTCAAACAAAGCTCATGCGTTTAGTTGTTGTATAGTACACGTAGCGGCTAATCGACGCCCGCATATGGGACTCGTATCTTCATTTGTATAGCGCGGGAAATAATCCCGCCGTGTGTAGGCAACGCCTCTATATATATTTCTCGAATCGTTAAATCCTCGACTTTCGTAGGCGCGTGTGCGTTGTACGTATCGTGTGTTTACGGCTGCGTGGAGCTTAAAAAAGGGCTTACACAGGATTTTATATACCGTTTAATCGTTTGTACCATCGGCGCGCGAAAATGGGCCGGATTCGCGATGTATGTCGCGCGTCTCACCCACGCCAACGGCGCCTGCGACTAGTTACTTCTTCTTTTTTTTTTGAGAAAAGCGATTAAGCATGCGCGACGTTTATGATAATTTCCCGAGACTACATTAACGTCGATCAAAAGGGGAATCACGCGCGCGTGAAAACTACCCGCTTACAGCGCGTAAGACTGCGTATATTCAAATATACTATACCGACGTGTGTAGTGACTGCTCGCACGTGAAAATCAGTGAAACGTCGGCGCGAGATAAGCATTTTAAGTTATACACGCGGAAACTATAATCCTGTATGCGCGAATGAATATTTCCGCGATATAACGTTATACATATAGGCTTATTAATCTCGCTCTCTTCTCGTTAATTAATTATGCGCGCGCGTCTTATCTCGCTCGCGATTGAATTAATTTATAATTATGCCATACATACGATATATGGAGCGTATGATTTGACGAATCATTAATTTTTCTTTCTTCTTACTTTCAGAATCCTATTCTGCACGACTCAGCCGGCGCACGTGATAACGATAGCCGCGGTGCTGTGCGTGACCTCGGCCCTGCTGCCCAATGACAGGCTTGGCACAACGACGACGACGACGACGACGGGAGCCGTGGCGATCGACGGCAGCAGCAGTAGCAATCCAATGGCGGCGCCGCGATCCAAGCTCACGGCCTTCGTCTATCTGGCCTCGTTCGTCATGCACTTCGGCTCGCAAGTCTGGATGACTTTTGTTTCTGGTCGGTACACGCAAAGGACGATTCAAATTTAACGAACTCGATAACGACATCTACTAATTACTCATTTACTTTGCAGGCCTGTCGCTGTACTTCGCGCTGCCGCGCCACACGTTCGGCGAGGTGCAGCGCGTCCTCTTTCCGCGCTACTTCAGCCTCAACGCCTGCCTCAGCCTCGTCACCCTCCTCATCTACGTCAAGCATCATCCGGCGGCGAGCTGGGACTGGGAGATCGGCCTGCAGGTGGGCGGCATGTCCGGGGCCTTCTTCTGCGAGCTCCTCATCAGGCTCTACCTGACGCCGCCTCTGCTGCGCCTCATCGACCAGAAGACGAGCCTCGAGCGGGCGGCCGGGGTCGGGGCGGAAATAGGTAGACACGATCCGGGCCCGCTCAAGCACTGTCCGCACTACATGAAGATACACGGCGAGTTTCGCCGGGTGCACATGATCATCGCCATGGGCAACATGCTGACGATGGCCTGCACGGTGCTGCATCTGCACTACATCGCCGGCAACATGTGCGCGCTCTAAGAATCTTTTTCGATTTCGCTGCTTCCTTTATCTTCTTCCTCTACTATATACTGTGTACATAATGAAAAAAAGGTCGCGTTTGTATATGAATTCGTTCGAAGAGTAACTTATTTTCGTTATTAATTTAATTTTAACAAAACAACGCCATTGTATCGACTGCTTGTTGAGTGTTAATGTACGTGTCGATGCGTGTATCTTTTGAATATTAATATATTGCAATATCGAAATTGTGTGTGTATGCTCAAGCGAGAGTGGAATATCTGCGAATGCCATAATGTAATGATATATAATTTAACTTAAAAATATCGCAACTTTACAGTGTCTAATTAGCGACCGACCGCTCGTATCTTCAATCAGTATTTAATATTTACGAGTGCGTCTCTCTTCGCCTTCTTAAAATTAAAAAAAAAAAAAAATAATAATAATTATCGACGAATACTCGGACTTTTTCTCTGTCTCGTCGTCTTTATTGAAATAATTATAAGTGTATCGGGTAAAATTGATACCGATAGATCAAATATTTCATGGATCAGCTTTTTCTTCTTTAGCGTTATCATACTTATACGATGACTAAACATTTTTGAGTGAAAATGTTTTTATAAAAAAAAAAGAAGTGTAAGTGTTGAAAAAACTATTAGATAATTTTCACCGCAATTCCATTATGGATTTCTGTTATATAATGTATAGGTCTCCTTTGAGCATTATGTGTTGAGCTGCGAAAGTCGACCACGAGATGGTTCGAGAGCGAGAGCCTCTTGGTCGATCGACGATAAAGTAAAAAGAAAAAAAGCTTAGGGGGAGGATCGGAGCTTCGCCTCGGCCTGAGAAAATTACGGCGCCTTTATATAACTTTATTTAATTTATCAAATCTTTTTTCTTCGTTTCCTTCGTAACATACAATGTGCACACTCTGTATCAGAGTGTAGATTTAACGAATTTATATATTTTCGAAAATCCTCGATGGCTATAATAATGATTGAAAATAAAATAACGTAATTATATCGCTCGCGAATGAATTCGTGCACAGAGAAAGAGGGGGCCGATTTCTTGTCGCGGACATTTTCGACTTTTACTACATCCTTTCCTCATCGCTCGTGTATAATGAATATATACGCAAATTATATAGTACAAGTGCACGTCTCATTGTTGTACATATCGCCGATACCATTATAATTATGTTTATCACGAAATTATATAAGCAATTTTTAATCGTATTTCTTAGCTTTTAATGTAAGTGTCGCAAACACGTATTAGAGAGTATCGCAGTATGCTTATTATATGTGGCTCCATTATAATATAATAATTATATAGATAGCATGTGATTTATAAATTTGATAAAACTATTAATGTTGCCATCGAATTTGCGGGTGCGATGAAGTTGCATCATATGGATTCGACACGTATCGAATTCGAGGAAAAGAAAATTACAATACGTTCGACGTCCGTTTTTTAAGCGAAAATATAACAAAAGCCTCGCAACGTATAGTAAATATGTTAGAAAAGTTGTATCGAAAAATATTGAAAATATACGAGAATTTCATTCAATTTCACTTGATTTTTATTTCAAATTCAATATACCTAAGTTCAGCAATTAGGAATTATTGAAACTGTCGGATTGAAAAAAACTTCATCACTTGATCAGCAATCAGCTGTCAGAAGTGAAAATCGAACAAAATTCCAAAAAAATTTAAATTCAAGCAAACGAATAAATGTTTCTAAATAATGTTCATAAGTGTAAGACGTCGTAGGACTTCTTCAAACATCGTTCGTTGTAATTGAATCGCGACTTTGCAGTGCGAGATGTAGTACAAGTTCCACCGCCAGATGTCATGATCAAACCCACAAGTAAAAATCTAATCAATAGACCTTAAATTTAAGCTTCTTAATTGTGTTCATGATAATGGGATTGTTATTTACATAGGAGTATAATATTTTATTCTTTTCTCATTCGAATCTCGATTTATCGTTACACGGCATACCAGCAATAAACAGCTACCGATAAAATGGTAAACTGCGCCCGGCGAAACGACAACGACAGTCGGCTCGCACAGAATCGCTATAATCGCACGTACAGTGCTATTCTTCAATCGGCTCCTCCTCGTCTTTTGCGCGCTCGCGCACTCTACATTATGCACATGCACCGCGGCCGAAAGCCTCGTACACACCGGCTCGCGTACGGCAGCTCGCGCTCTCTTCGGCTGCGGCGCATTCCACGCATTCTTCGAATTCTCCGGCGAGTATCGCGGAAGGCGAGCCGCGAAGCGCCGATCGACCCGAGAGCGATAATCGTCCGGGAAAATCGGCCGATCGGCACGAGTCGTCGTCGGAGACTGTCATTTCGAAACGACCCTTGGATTCGGCTGTGCGCGGAACAAAGGGATCGGGGGGGCTGTTGTGAACGAGCTTTAAAGCGGTGTTGCGCGTAACCGGCGCCTTGTGTACATGTGTATGCGTGCGTGTGTACGAAATTTATACCTCGTTCGCGAGGTAAGCGAGAGAGTAAAGATAACAGCGCTCCGAAATGTCAATAACGCGACAGCGACGAGCGATTGAAGGAGTTGTCGATGGATGCATGGACCGCGTGATATTATTATGCACACATAGACACATGCGAAATGCAGGTTGGAAAATGGCCGCGCAGAATCGCCATCCCTTTTAGAGATTCGGCGAGCGGCACTTCTCTCTCTCTCTCTCTCTCTCTCTCTCTCTCTCTCGCTCTCGGCTCCGTGCAATTACGCACCTCTTCTCTCTCTCTGTACACATATAAGTGTGTATGTGTGCATACATAGACTCGACGGTGCATTGGGTACTGTACGGAATAAGCGCCGCCGCCGACTGGCGCGCCGATCAGCACACAGCCGCCTGCCCCTGCACCACTGCTGCTCATGGTCTGTGAGTACTGTACCTACACTACCTTATACCTATATACCTTATAACACTGTACAACTCGTCCCTGCAGCAGCAGCGGGTCTGTCCGTCTGGTCGTCTCTGTCTCTCTCTGTCTCTGTCTCTGTGCAGCAGCAGCATACATATAGCCCCACAGGCTGAGAGGCAGAGAGCAGCGCACCGAGGTAGCTGCCTGCGTCTGTCTGTGTGCGGTGCGCGGTGTGCAGTTGCAGCTCCCATCACATCAGCCTCGCTCGGCTTTTGTTGTTGCCATTTTATACATAAAATTATTATTATTATCATTATTATTATTATTAAATTGTTCGTTTAGTCGTTTCGTTTGTTTCTTCGGCGCGTCCGCCCTTTATATACACGATACGTAAAGCCGCGCGGAGTAATATTGCAGTGCGGTCGATCGACGTTTTTCTCTTTTTTTTTGGCACATCATTAGATAGATAGATATAGCGAGCGATTGTCTCTCTCTGCCTACTACACGTAGACGTGCAATCGCTATTATATTTATAAATGTAATAACAAAAGAGAAAAGGATCCTCGTCGTTGAACGCCGAGAGTGCACTTGTTGTTACAATATTATATACTGCGAACGAAGAAGAAGAAGAAGCTTTGCATCCCTTTGGTCGACCGTCGAAAATTGACATTTGCCGAGTGTAACATAGCATATGCATAGTTATTTGCACCGACGACATGCAAATTGGCTTTTGCGGATTCTCTCCTTGCTCACCGTCGTCGTCGTCTTCGTCGTCGTCGTCGTTGTCGCCACCACTGCCTAAACGAGCCTACACAACTGTATATAGCCTGTAAAACGAACGAGAAAGAGAGACAGAGAGAGAGAACAAAAAAAAAATAAGGGCTTCTTCGTTCCTACGTATATCTACCTATACACGACTAAACTGCCACGGCATTTTAATCGCACGTTATATACTGGCAAAGTACACCGACCGAGAGCGAGGAGGACACACGACGCGCAGCAAATACAAAAGAAAGAAATAAAGGAGTCCTCGCGTGCTGTTGTATTCTAAAGTGCGATTAATCTATCGTATTCCGACCTCAATAATTGCCGCATAAGCGCGACTTTGAGACAGAGAGAGAGCTGCATCTGCATCAACCCCCCACCTCCAGACACCGCTACAACTACTGCTAATACTACTACTATCGTAACTACTGTGTATATATGCAACAACGGCAACTTGTACCGCACTCCGATCCACTGCTGCTGTTCTGTTCTGTGCTTCACCTCTAATTCAGCTTTTTTGATATCAAAACCTTCGTGTTTTACGAGCGACGGGGGCCCTCGACGTTCCTCCATATAATAAAACGCCTAAAGGACCAGGTGAGCATTATGAGAATTCGTATACGATTGCCTTTATATCCGAATGACATTTGGCTCCGATGACTGCGGGTGACACATTCATTCATTATCATTATATATTTCAAAACCCAAATGCAAAAGCCCGAGTTACTCTGTCGAATATGATGAGTTCGGAGAAAGGTTACTATGTATTGAGCGATAACTGCGCTTGCTCCAATCTCTAATCAGTGAAACTTATGTGTATAGCCGGCACACTAATTGCCGCATTAGAGTCGGAATCTCTCGTCTCGAGCTTTAAATTACAAGTATAAACACCGATTGGTCGACGATATACTTACCACGTATTTAATATATCGAGAGAGCGCAAAACGGAGTTGAGATATAGGTATAGGTATACACAGTAGCATTAAGTACAGAGAGAAACGCTCGTGTCTCTCTCTCTCTCTAGCGAAAAAAAAAAAACGAGAGAGAAGGGGGGGATGAAATCGCCGGTTCCGAGAGGTATTTAGCTTAGCAAGCCGCCTTTTCATTATCACGCCAAAGACGCGCGACAAAGTTGGAGCTGAGCTGTTTGTATAGCTGCTGCATATTATATTAATCTCTCTTTCTTTCTTTCTCGATGGCCTAAGTTCGGGCAAAGTACAGTTTCGACTTGACTGAGATTGTAATATATACTTTTGCACGACACGACACCATCGTTTTTCCGTACATATCATTACGGCTCGGTCGTAAATATTAGTATGCTCCGAATTGGTGAGTAGCGCACAGAGTCAGTCTAACCCAATCGCGGCTGTGTTGTAGTTTTGACATTTTGCCGCTCGCGAGCTGTGCTGTACAAAAATGTTCAGTCGTGGATATCGATACAATCATGGTAGTAAGTCTGGGTTAAAATAAAACGTTGTCCTTCATCCGAGACAGATTCGTGAACCTCCAATTGTACCATTACCCATCGGTTGGGTTATAAGTGATTACAAAATTCATAACATACTGAAGTCTGGCGTTGTTTTTTTTCCAGTTCCAACAGTAATGCGGCCAATGCAACCGGCACCAATGGCCCCAGTACAGCATCCACATTATCCTCCTCATAGAGTTCATCAACAGTTATCCATACCGCCACACCAACCTCAACACATGCATCATATGCAGCAGCATCCAGCCATGTCCAACCCACGTATGATGATGAGTAATCCTAATGGTAAGACTCGTACAGCAGTTTTCTAGCTTTAGACTTTTTATTTCATATGAACAAGGTTTTTTTCTTATTCTTTTTTTTTTTGGCTTATTATTTTCCATATTGACTTCTTATTTTCCATATTTTTATCACTAAATTGCTTTATTAAGTTTGCTATTTGATGTGACAATTTGCTTGTGATTTTGAATTCAGATATTGTACTCAACAGTTTGATCTGCTTTAGAACACCTAAATTTGAAGCTACAGATTACAATTGACATTATTTGCACGATGATAGTTTTTTGAAGAAAATGAGTAAACTGTAACTTCATAATGGTGGTGGTAATTAATATGATTTTAAGGGCTGAAGAGAATGATATAAAAAATATACGGTAAGACTTTATTGGCATATGCACTGAAAGAAAAGTGTCATGATAATTTGCAGTTTTATTTATATACTGAATTTTTCACATAGTATTCATAAGTTTATTCATAAACATCAAATATCCTGTATTTTATGTATCATCATTATTAGCCCCTAACCTTACCATTAATCTAAAGTAGTTTTTTTAATCAAATACATATGAATGAGTTTTAATCATTTTATTCTGCACATTTAATATTACAAACTATCAACTGTTCACTTTCATTTTTTTCCTCATGCATGTAGGTTGAGCAGAACAGTTAATATACTGTCAATGAATTATATCCTTGCTGCTGAATTTACAAAAGAAATTTTTTAAACCTGTGATAGCAGCTAAATAGTTAATTGAATATATAAAGCAGTTTAGTATTTTCAAAATTTGTATTAAAATCATTGCGTTTCTAAAAAATATAGTAAATTTCAATTAATTAAAAATTAAAAGTTCTCTTTATAGTAGTGATCAAATTTAGAATGAGTGAGTCACAGTTATTATTCTTTTGTTTATTTTTCATTAGAAAGCCGCTACATTATGTTGAAAGTAGTTTTTTTGCTCACTCTGCTCAGCTGTACCAATGCAGAACTCCACATGGGATCTTTGTTCGATTCGTATGAAAATTGGGATCTTTTTTTTGGACCATCGGGGTGCATTGAAGGTCTGTTTTGGTTTCAAGGATCGTAATCTACTTTGATGATATTATCTTTATCAAAATAGGCTGGGTTCCAAAAACAAACTTCATGACTTTAACATATTGCAGAAACTCATGTATTATTTTTATATTGATTTCTTCTTTTGCTTTTTCTTGTGGTTATTTGTTTTACAGGTTTTTTTTTCATTTAAAATTCATAATATATTTCATAATTTCACAGTAGGTACAGATTTTGATACATAATTTACATAATGCAATGATCATTCTATTTTTTCTTAATACTCCAAATAATCATAAATTGATATCAGTTTCAAAATTTGCAATATTTGAATGATTATAAAGTTCTTTATTGAGTTTTTTTAAATTAATCTTACAATAGTAATGGTTTATTAACAAAATTCTTTATATTTTAGGAACAATAGTAAATGTTGGTTTAAAAGACCAATCAAATGCTATTCCTATGACCATACAGAATGTGAATCATGCATCCATCCAACAGAATCAAAATATCCAAAATATTCAAATGAGCATTGATCAGAAAAAACTTTCTACTGAAGATACACCGGAAACAAAAGAAGATGGTCAAAGCGGAGCAAATTCTACTAATTCTAACTTATCAAATACGCGGGAAAAGACTCCAATGTGCCTTGTGAACGAGTTGGCAAGGTTTAATAAAATTCAACATCAGTATAGGCTAACCAATGAACAAGGCCCAGCTCATAAAAAACGATTCACTGTGACTTTAATGCTCGGTGAAGAGGAATATGTAGCTGAAGGTCCAAGCATTAAAAAAGCTCAGCATAGTGCAGCAAGTGATGCCCTGACCAAAACTTGGTACAGGAAACCTCCTCCAAAGCCAACCAGAGCAATGAGAATCCCTGGAAAATGTTCTACTGGAGCTGGTATAGTGGAAAAACAATTTCATAGAAATAAAATAATGTTTGATCTTAATGTTACTAACAAAAAAATTGAATCTTTCAGGCCATTTGCCACCTACAGTAGAACTGAATGCTTTGGCTATGAAAAGAGGTGAACCAACAGTTTATACATTTAGACATGCACCACCAGCTGCAACTGCCGCTCCACAACAATTCGTCGCACATGGATACGGAAACTTTCCACGAATGTATAATCCAAGATATCCAGCTTACAATCGTGGTTTCCATCCAGAGCCTCAAGGAATTTATTTGGTGACTTTGAAGGTTTGTTTCTTTTTGATTGTTCTTTTAAAAAATTTCAATTTTCCATTATTACCTTTAATCTTTTTTTTTTTTGTAATTGCAGGTAGGTGAACGTGAATTCATAGGCAGAGGTATGACGGGTCAAGCTGCCCGACACGACGCAGCAAGTCGAGCACTAGAACAGCTGCGTACGTTACCTTTGCCCGAAGAAAATACAACATCTACAGTTACGGTTAACGAAAGCACCAATGGAACAGCCAGCAGTCCGGGTATCGAGGACCCGAACGCTGAACTCAAGAGCCCCGTCTCTCTTGTGCACGAAACCGCATTGAAACGCGGATTGTGCGTAAGCTTCGACGTGGTTTCCGAAACCGGTAAACCGCACATCAGAACGTTCATGACTCGGTGCACCGTAGGTGACAAAGTTACTCTCGGCGAGGGTTCGTCGAAAAAGGTTTCCAAAAAACGTGCCGCAGAACTGATGCTGGAAGAATTGAAGAGATTACGACCGATAGTAGCTCCAATTCAAAATCGTACTCTACGTTTGAGACGTAAACAACCAGCGACCAAAAGAAAGACACGTAATTTAATTAAAGTGTACCAGAAACCCCGCACCGAGACCGATAGTTCTGAAGAAGTAAATCCTATCTCACGTTTAGTACAAATTCAGCAGGCTAAACGCGAGCGTGAGCCTGTCTATAATCTTATAGAGGAAAAGGGGGCGCCCAGGCGGCGCGAATTCGTCATGGAAGTCTCCGTTGGACAGCACTCGGCGGAGGGAACGGGCCCCAATAAAAAATTGGCTAAACGAGCCGCAGCCGAAGCATTGTTAGCATTAATGGGTTACAGCAAACCCCAGCCGCAACCAACGAAGCCGTCTATCAAGACAGCCACTGGTGCCGGAGCTGGCACCAATGGCGCTGAAAACAAAGAGAACAGCGGCGAAAATAAGCGCAAAGTTACCTTCGTAGAAGTTGACGCGAGAAATGAAGCAACACACAATATTTCTCAAGGTGGTACGTCGGGACGCCAATTGGTACCTGGTGTGTTAGTTGGAGTGAAGGCTGAAATGGACAATGGTACAGAACCTAAGGTCGTAAGCGGCCCGAGTGTTCAAGTCGTAGCAGAGGAATTGCGTGGCCAACAGTCGCCTCAATCAGCCGGATTATCGCCGACTAATCAACTCAAATATCTAGCACAATTGCTCAATTTCCAAGTATCATTCAGTGATTTCCCAAAGGTAATGAATTAACATTTATGAATATATCAAATTCCAACTGTTACGACTGTTGTATTCTTTTTTTTTGTAGGGAACTTACAAAGAGCATTTATCGTTAGTCTCTTTGAGCACGGACCCACCTCAGGTTTGCCACGGTCATGGCCCCACAAAAACGGCTAGCCGTGATCAAGCTGCTCTTACAGCGCTTCGTAATTTAAGCAAAATGGGATTGGACAGCGTAACGAACACCGCTCCCGGTGCGAAGAAAGATAAGCCTGCAGAGAGTAATCAACAGTCAAATAATGCGGCAATGCAGTCTGCTTATAGTCAACAACCTGCCAGTCCTGGTAGCAACCTAATAAACGGTGCCCTGGACAAGTGAAATCCAACGATGCTTACTTATTTCATGACTTGCAACGTACCGATGGTAATCGATTGATCGATTGAATTGTTGGTACAGCTGCAAGAAGCAACAACGCGTTCAGTGCTGACATCATATTGATTTGACTATTATATATATTTATTTATATATATGGGTTAAAGAGATTTAAAGTTACATTTGATTCTTGTTACGCTCCTTTCTTCTGAATGTATTGCTCAGTTTGTTCTTGATTTTTACTTTTTTTCTTTAAAGATAATAGCAAAGAGTCTTCGTACAACGATCATAATTGATTTTCAATGCAGAAAAAAGACTCAGATTGAAAAACTGACTCTTATAGAATTTAATGTTTGAGTAGTTATTATTTTTATTTAATGATCTATGCATCTAGGCGTAAGTTAGCTTATTGATTTAATGATTGTTTCCTATATTATTTTGTCGCACTGAACGTATTGATTCATTTTTGTATTCTAGTTTTGAGTGTTGCTTAGTGTTAGCGAAAAAAATCGAAAAATTATTTCACATGACATTTAACAACACTCATAATATATATAAATTCATGAATATTTCTTTTTGATTTATTCTACAAAAAAGGTGTTTTTATATGTATTGTTTATTATTCTGTCTAAGTCACTAAGTTTGCTGCTCTTTGCATAGATTCATTTCGCAGAAATTCTGGCTTGATGCGAGAAACCAAGAGGCAAATGTGTCGAGAGATAGGTTGATTGTAATTTTCGTATATTAACGCGATGAGTACTAAAAAAGTTAAAAATTTAAAGGTAGAATATAATAATTAAGCTGCGAAGTGAATCTATATTTGAATAATTTTTTACAATAATTGCTGGTGATCATTTTACGTGATTTTATTTTTATCCGATTGTGATCACTTGGCAAATCTTATTTATTCACTGAATGAACAGAGACAAATAAGAAAAAAAAATCAATTTTCGTACTATCAAATGAATTAGACATTGATACCGCAGTTTATGTCATTGTCATGAATGTAATTACTATGTCCAATTACCTAAACTTAAAATGAATTATATAAATAATATATATGTATACATAAACTTAGAAAATGTAGAAATGATCAATTTTCGTTTTGCTTTCTCTTGATTGTTTTATCTGGATCACGTTCTGCGAACGAGATAACTATTTTGTATCGATAAAGTTTAAAAAAACCTTGCTGGAACAACGCGTGTATAAAGAAAAGAGAAGGAAAAATGTACTGAAAAAAAATAATTTAAAAATTAGAAAAAGACCAAAAACATGTACTTGTTAGGTAATTAGATGTTTGCGCGATATTTAAAATTTACCCATATTGCTTTTCAACTGTGGCCTTTGAAGCATTCTGGGATTATATTCATGCTAATGTCATAAAGGTATATTTAAGACGATGTACTGAAAAACGAGATAACGGATCGCTACAACGAGCCATTTGAAATTTTCAAGAGCCATAAATGCGTGTGTAAACTATAACAATTCATTATTCATGAAGAAGAGAAAGAGAGACAGTTGGTGGCTCTATCGAAATTTGAAAATTTCAAAAGGTTTAAGTTTTTTATTAAAAAAATAAATGAAATAAAAAAACTAGGAATTTTTAAATAACTGGGTTGATATATTAAAATTCAGACTCGTTGTGTTAGGATTCGTCGCGACAATCGCGAGCGTTAAAAAAATTATATTATAAATTAGTGTCGCTTAACAATTCTGAAACAACGCCAATAGCGAATTTTGAACTATTACCCATGCAAGGGAGAATACATGACCGAGTAAAGAAAGAAACAAAAAAAACTCCTATCAAAGATATGTAAAATAATGAATGTAAGCAATATGTAACATCGGTACGCGTATTTAAATAATTTATTAGTAATGAACTGATGGCTGTCGAAAATTTTAATTTCTCTGCAGCATTTTTAATGATTTATATTTTGGTAGGTTTGTATTAAAAGTCGTACCGATGATATCGATATAATGATATTGACTTGCATTCATTATTCATATTGCATGCATATATCATACATAACATATAACCACTCGCATTTTCAATTCAGTGAAAATATAACTCATGAAAAGAATTGACAGTTTATACAATCCTACAAATTACATTTCATTTTTTTCAAATAGATAGAGATTTCTGTTGAATCTTGTTATTGACGACCATTCATAACTTTTGTATCAAGTATACATTAGGATTACAATATTAAGAAAACGTACTTCTTAAATACCAATAATTTTTTTTCCGTATTGGACTAAATATTTAATTGAAGCATCCGAACGTTATGAATGGGTTTTTTCATGCATAAGAGAAAATGACAATTTTCTTTCGATGAAAGTTACACAAAGTATAATTACAAAAAGGAATGATAATAGTAGCAAATTGTGATAACTTCGCAAGAAAAAAAAATTCAACGGTACTTTCGAACCTATACAGTATATAGGCCTACTATAAGAAAAGTAATCTCTTTTAAATCCCAGTAACTGCTAATGCACTGCATTAGCAACCAAAAAAAATAATCATTGTTTTTTACCATATATTTGCACGATTTTGTGTGAGTAGCTCTTCTCTACTCACGACTGCTTGAATATTTTTTTCTTTCTTTACCTTCGCAGAGACTTTTCATTAAGTATGAATTCTTTAATTTTATCCTGCTACAAGCCTGCCTAGTGGTACTTTTTTCCAATTATCAGTTTGCATTCTATTTGTGTTAATTGCTATTATTTAATTATAAATATAATTTAGCAATTAATTAAAGTGGATTTTCGTTTCTCAAATCGCTGAGAATAAATTTAAATGCATCATTGATCATTAGGAAAATCGACTTTTCACTTGAGCAGGTGTGAAGCCTACCTATTCTACGAAAAATTTGTTTCGTAGCTTCGGTTAAGAGTGAATAAAAAGCAGAAACAAATGGATGATTTTTTAGTTTGTATTGGAAAACAAAATAAACAATTACGAAAATAATTTCTATTGTGTCTTGAATACTATTATTTTCCATTATAATTTTTTACTTTAACTCTCACGTAGTAGTTCATTGAAGAGATGGAGAAGCCATCGCAAAAATTGACTTTTGTCGCCTAGAAAATACTTCAGGGCGCCAAATTTGGAGTTTAAAATTTATTTAAAAAGTAAAATTTATTCAAACTTTTCTTTATTTATTAAAAGTTAATTACAAATGAATTAATACAACAGCCTTACAAACTAGTCAACTTGACATGGTAATAACAACGAGAGGAGAGGAGATTCACTATCCAAAAAAAAAATCATCACTCGCGCGTCTCGATTCTTCTTAATGCTTCATGTTGGCGAGAATCGACTTGAACGCGTCGCAGGACAGATTGGGATTGGCGTTGAGGACCTCGGAGATGGTCTCGCCCAGCACCTCGTCCACGAGGCTGTTCACCTGGTCGACGACGAGTTGCGGCAGCGGGGGATTCGTCTGCAATTTGAGATTCTGCACGTGGGTCTTGACCTGGTTGAATTTGACGCGGCAGCCACCGGCGGACTCGTCGAGTCTGATGACGAGCGACATGTTGATGACGCCAACGGTGGCTTTGGGATTTTTCACGTCGACGCTGATGCCGAACACCGTGCCCTGTTGAGAGGAAAAAAATCGGCCGATTTTAGAAAATCGATTCAATGCGACGTTTTCATATGTAAAGATCGTTCGACGACACTTACTCTGGCGTGAGCGAAACGAGCTCGGGTGTTCTGGACCGTCATCTGCAGCTTGATCTGAGACATGCGTGCGCCTCGGCGGACCAGCACATTCGAGTGCTTCTTAAATCCACGTAAATCACTGCGGATAAAAAAAAGCACAGTATAGCACGTGTAGTCAGCGTCGAACAAATGCGGAGAAACTATCGAGAATATCGTTAAAGAAACTCACGCCAAGGCTCCGTTTTGCATGGCGTAGGTAATGGGAATGCCGAAGACTTTTTTCGTCCCTTTGACCACTGGCACCTCCAGAATACCCGGACGGTTCTTCGCCAAGATCTTCAGCACCTCGTCCTTGATGAGCTCGAACGAGCACTCCTCGTCGCAGGCCTCGGACGGGGCGACGTACAAGAAGAGAACGCAGATGCCGGCGACGGCTGCCAAGCTCGATACTCCTTTCATTTTTTGTATAGAGTTTTTTTTTCAAATTTCTAAATAGTAAAAATAAGAGAGAGAGAGAAACATTAGAGTCACGCCGACAAAACTTTACGTTATGTATTGCTTAAGTATAGAAGAGAAATTAATATATTTTTGTTATCGTTCAATAAAAAAATTATTTAATTCTTGATCTTACTTGAGAGCACGTTTTGTGTATTGCAAGCTGCGCTGAGCCGCTGAAGCGTTTGATGCTTTCGTCGAGCCGAAAATCCTTTTTATACGTTTTTTTTTCGAGTCGAGCCGAGCCGAGCCGCCGCCGCTCTCGTGCCGCTGTTGCCGTTAAGGGCCATATTTTTTTTAATCGTATGTATTATCAGATCGGTTTATCATTGGCAAAAGTCGAACGCGTAGAGGTGGCCGCGGGGGAGGAGGCAGCTATGACAATATAAATCAGAGTGTGATATAATACCGCCTCGAAGTGTTACCCAGTTGTAAATAATCAATATTGACTCGAAATCAAAATTAAAATAATCTGTACCAGGCGACTCGCACGTATACACCAAAAATCAAATCGAGCGCGCTCGACTTTTACAGTCTGAGCTTGTGCGTTTTTGCAAAAATATTCGTAGAAAAGGGTTCGAAATTTGAGATATCTTTTTACAATTTATCACTTTTAGGGTTGTTGAAAGCTGCAATAATTCGTTTTTTAAAACCATTTTCTGCTCAAGTTGTAAAGCTCGAGATAAAGCTCAGTCTATGAACATTTAAACATGGCAAGCATGAAGATTTCGGGTAAAAACCCCTAGCAAAAACCCCGTGTAAGGTCGGCCAATCAATTAATTGAGTTATCATTGACTTTTAATTGTAATTTTTTTTATTAATGATCGACTTTACAGCCTATTAAATGACTAAGAAGATCGCATTCATGTGCTGAAAGTCACGTAGCCGAGCAAGAAAGCAGCCTCGCTTTAAGCTCGCTTGAAAAATCACGAGCACATATTTGCTTAAATCAGTTCACATTATACATTATCAACCGCGCATAATTACAAATATTTATTTGCGACTTGAGTCGTTCGTTTTTTTAAATGTGCAAAATAATTAAAATGATTACAGTTGGATTAGAATCGATAATATTTGCGCATTAGCCTAATGAATCTAAAAATAATGCCAAGTTCCAAGAATTTTTCAAAGTTTTCTCTACTTTCATTTTTTGTTTGAAATAATAGATTATAGTGAATATGAGTGAATGAAAATCAATTGAATTACATAACAAAATGTTATTTAAATTTATTACACATTGATGAACAATTAAAATATGTACACATTTCATTTATAAATTGAGTAATTAGATTAAAAAATAGACTTAAATAAATTTTGTACAAATTATTTACAGGGTAATAATAAATTAAAAATTTTAAAGTCTTCTATAATTGTCTCTTTGTTGTTGTCCAGGGGCCGCAGATGGACCACTGGAACCCATTGTTGAGTACATAAATGGTAAAATGGAAGCTAATGCCAATCCTAATCCAATCACTGGTCTGTACCAGACCCAAGCAAATCCAACTACTAACATGCTAATAGACATGGAAACTGATATAGTAAGTGATTCAACTGCTATTATTCCACATAGCACATTAGAGTTAGTAATGATAGTTTTTAAAATGTTAGCCAAACAAGTTGCTGCTAAAAACATGACTAACCAACCAATTCCTCTGAAACAAGAAAATTTAAAACATACTTTAAAATAGAAGTCAGTAATTAAGATGAATAAATAACCACTGGTTATTTACCTTATAGCCCAAGTTCTCCAATAATTATCTCTATGCTCAAGATGAAACATTTGATCTACAGATATTTCATGCATTCTTTGAAGTAGAATTTCCTGCCCATGAGAAGTAATAAAAGGTTCGATAACACCATTTTCTGATTTCCCTACGACTGAGTAAATGTCTCCTGCTTTTCCAGCATACGACATCTGAACTCTTATATCTCCTACTTTGGGTTCCCATAGATCTTCACCATAGTAGTATAATCCAGCATGCATCTTAATATCTTTTCTCTCTGGTCTCTCATCACTTGTCACTTCAACAAAATCATTGAATTTTTTCTTTAAATCCATTCCCAGTTGAAAATTTCCAATGTATGCCTCTTCTGCAATTTGTGTTTGACTTTTGATGGGCATTTCTTTAGGATTTTCATGGCCAAATCTTATGTAAAAAGAGTCAGAGTCAATTAACTTGTCTCTCCACTCAGTTGTATAGTAGTAATGTTTATCTGCTTCAGTAGGTTCTGACCCCGGAAAACTAATTAAAAATAATTAAAAACATTGATTCATTTTTTCATTATAATTAAGATAATTGAAAGTTTGATAGAGCGTAGAGTACCTTCTCTCTTCTTCTATTTCTATCCACTGATACATTTGAGCTCTCCTTTTTAACTTAATGCTAGCGACCATTACACCATAATCAGGTTCTGTCAATGGTTCTGATACACTTATGGGACCTGATACATAAACCAAACGACCCTCGAACTCTGGCAATGGTTTTACATTGCTCTGAACTACAGCAATATTATTCAGCGCTTCGTCCAAAGAGTAAGCCATTTTTACTGCTCTTCCCTAAATCATATAATTTATTAAAATATACATAAAGCTACCTATCAAAATTTAAATTGTTATCAAACACTAAGCACAAATATAATTACTTCATTCCAAACAAAAATACACATTGCAGTTGCGAATAATATTAATCCAATGATCGCCGTCAACCATGATTCTTTGAATTGATCCAATACGGTAGCTTGGATAGAATTATTGTCTACCTCATTACGATAATACCGTTGATATCTGTTGTTAGAACGATTCCTATTTGCAGTTTGATCGTTGTTATTCCTTTGGGAATTACCATTTTGCTGCAAATATTTGGACAATTGAAAAAAAAAATACCAAGATATTAATTTTAAAATAAAACGTTTATTTGAACTTGATTATCAGTATTCTTACGTTCGGTCTGTACATCGTTGCGTATACACACTAGTGCTTATAAAATTAAATAGTGACGCAAAACTTTTGATTCTAAAAATTGAGATTCTGTCATCCTTCGGCAAACACTCAGCACACCCCAACTAACCTAGAACTTAATGAATCTTTGGTGCGAGCTGCGAACGGTTCTATAAACAGAATAATCAACCCAGTTCCATAATATTTCTCGTGCAAGTTTTCACATTCAAAAACTTAATTCAACACATTATCGCGGCAGTAGAAGAATGTTTTTGAAATCGCGCGATTCAAACTTGTATTCCATTTCTGTAGCAGAAAGCAATGCTCACTATACATAAGTTGTAGTGATGCAGGGGTAGCGCGAGAGAGAATAAATATAGCACATTGATGCACGATGCAAACATTACGACTTTTTTACAGTGCCGTATTGACGTACATACGCGCGAAGTAGTTGGACGTGCCGCCGCTAAGTGGCATAAAGTACATTGTATTTCACGCATAGAAAGTTGTCAAGTTAAGCAGTTAAATCACATCAAACGTCACCACCTGCAGTCAAATAATATAAAGTAAAATTGAAGTAAAGTAGTAGTAGTAATATATGTGAAACCAAGCATGTAATGCGGCAGACTGGTGATCTCAGTTAAATCTAGCTTTCAAATCGCATACATTAATGATAATTTGTATTATCTTTAGAATAAAGACATTATATAAAACTAAAACTGTACAATTTATGTCGTTTCTCTCAATTTTTCAAAATTGTCTTGAACCAGAGATACGTGTAAACCACATCGCTTGGATAAAGATGAATGCACCACTCGCGGTCCACCGTAAAAATTTGCGGCAGCGCGAACATCTTGATTTCGGGGTTCGGATTCTCGTCGGGCAGAGTCGATCGGTACATGGCCAAAAAATCGCCGTCGTCCAAGTTTGACTCGATTTTGTCGCGTATTTCCGGCACGGCTTGATGTATGTAGTGTATGGTCGAGTTCTTTCGCCAAAACATCTCCGCCCCGACTTTCAAGTACTCGTTCTTCAAGCTCTTCAAGATGTGCGCTTTGATGATTCTGTAAGAGTCCAATTTGCTTCTGAACAACGAGTACGACAATTCCCGATTGGGTCGGAATCGGCCCGTCTCCTCGAAAAACTCCCTCATCTCTCGCCAGTCGCAGCCGTGAAACAGCTTGACAGTACGCTTGTAGTTGTATCTGGCGAAATCGCCGTACTTCGTTCCGTCGCTCATCTTCGCGCTCACCACGGGTGGATCTTGGAGTTCGAGAATTTCCGAGGCTACGCTGCAGCACTGAAATTGCGCTTGCATGTCTGGATTGTTTCGTATCAGAGACAGGCAATCCTGTAGTAATTTTTTCCTTCTCGCGTCCAGGTACCAATTGTTTACTTCGATTATTTGAAGGACCTTTCGAATGTTTTTAAATTGCGTCATCACTGAAAAAAGTTTGGTGATATCTTTGCTGGATAACACATCGACGAGTTCATTGTAATAAATACGCATCTTTTCGTTGGAATCTGCAAAAAAAATTAATAAATACATAAATTAGCGTTTAACAATTACGATTTACCGTACGTAACAAAATTATTGCCACAAAAAATTTTATCGAAATGTCGTCAATTTTCATTGCATCGAGATGATTCTTCTTTAAATCCATAGGCCATATATTTTCCTATATGCCATATATTTTGCGAATATATAATGCGAATTGACTCGATCTTTGAGCATTTTTTAGTAAAATAGAACCTTTAAAACAGCCTGCAGGGCGCAAAAAAATCGTAGAGAATTCTTTTTTTTTTTAATTACCCTCTGAAATAGTATATTTTGCACCTAGGGAGTGAAAAACTGGAAAGTCTCAGAGCACGTGTAATTTATCATCCGAGGCGAAGCCAAGGTTGATAATCACGTGCTCTGAGACTTTCATTTTTCGCTACATAGGTGCAAATACAATTTTTTGTGAATCCCCCAGCCTAAAGTAACATTTTGGTTTTGCGCAGCGGAAGTAAAATGTTACTTTAGGTTGGGGTGGCACAAAAAGAGTATTTTGCGATGGTGCAAGTTAGATTTTGATAAACAAGTTGTTTGAACATTGCATTGCCATGGACATGTTTAAATAATCAATTTTTTTCATTAATTTTTAGTGTTGCGCTCAAATACTACTGTTTACTCGATATTGACTTGAAACTCAAAATTCATAGTATATATGGATTTAAAGAGGACAAATGCATAGTTAAAGAAAGAAAAATTAAAATTCAAATTGGTAACATGAAACCGACCATACAAAAATATAATAAAAAATATTAATAAATGCATTAATGGCACGACATCGTTAGTTTAACTTTTACGTTACGATTTTTTTATATATTTTTTCTCCGTCGAAAATTATAATTCACTATACGAGCAGTTACTCACTATATATCAATCCCTCCAACGGCATGACAAGACCCAGGGGACTGTAATCCGGGTCCACCAAGAATCGCATAACTTGATACTGATGAAAGTCGTTCATGCGAAATCCGTAATGCTGCAGAATCTCGATGATGTCGTAGAGATTTTTCACGATCGACAAATTGCACTGAGTTCTGCAGTGGAACAGGCCACCGTCGAAGGTGATATTTTTCACGTCCGCTCCGGCATCCAGCAGCGCCTTGACCACGTCGTAATTGATGTAGGACACGGCCATCTGCAGCGGGCTTATGCCCGAATCGTCCTCGTCGTTGGGGTCGCAGCCCGCCTCGACGAGCAAACGAACCATTTGGGCGCCGATCGCGTCGTCGATCAGCATGTGCGAGTTATCCTCCGCGAACCAAAACAAGGGACTTATGAACGCGAGCACGAGCTGATGTATGGCACCCTTGAGGCAGGGAGATTTTTGAGTAGCGAGAAAATCCCGTAAACGATCCAGTTGAGCCTCTCGATGAGCTATTAGATTGGCCAATTTCCTCGAATGATGGAGAAATCCGTGGAAGGCCGGCAGAGTCATAAAGTCTTTGGCGTTGGCGCCGCGGCAATTGCAGCCCCCGAGCAGCCGCTGCACCTCCTTGGTGCGCTCTCGCAGCTGCAGCGAGGCCTGCATGAACGAGCTCGCGTCTGTGTCGCGCCTGTGGTAGCGGCAAAAATCCGGAAGCGCCGCTGCGGCGCCGCTCTCCAGCAGCAGCTTCAGCATCCTCGACTGCAGCTCGGGGACCGATCGCAAGATCAGCAGACTCATTCGGTCCAAGAGACCGTACGGTCGATGATAGGCCGGAAAATTTTTCACGTAATCCGTGGCGATCTCGTCGTCGCGCGAGCTCCCGACCATGTACCAGATCAGAAAGTGAGAGAAGTAGCGGAGATCGAAGCCGTCGCGGCGGCTGTCGAAGCATCTGTAGGCGCTTTCGAATTGCTCCAGGAGCACGGCGTTTTGGGTCGGATTTCGATCGACGATGCTCTTCGTTCCCGTCGTCGCTGCTTCCACGACGAACTCGATGATTTTTGCCTGTCCATTGAGCAGAGCACGATGCAGCACCGATTGGATGTTTATCTTATCTTCGAGCAGTCCCGCATTTTTGAGTTCCGTCGAGTCTCGTTGATTTTTAATTGCTTCTCGTACTTTGGCTTTGAGATTTTTCAACCACGTGGTTATCCGCCGCTCTTGGTAATTGAACTCTTGCAGCTGTTCGCCGAATCCGACCTTGTCCATGATTTAAGCTAAACTAGGCACTGGTATACTTTCACTATTCATATGCACACTTTTTGATAAAACACATACAAGTAAGTTTTTGATTATCTTTGTAGCGAAGAGTAAGAAGCACGTCGTATTAAAAATCTTCACTGATACATAATCGTTTGATTCAATAAACCAAAAAAACTATTTTTACGAATTTTGACGTTTTTCACGAAGTAAACAGACAACTCGATCGGAGCACGTGTTTAAAGAATGTGCGAGACGACCAATACACTGTTGCACGAGTATTACGTATATACGCTACACATGTAAATAGCTAGTCGTAACATATTTTACTGCGCTACTGTCAGAGCTATTTTAGCTGCGAAGCAGTGGCGGGTCATGGAGCACGTCAATGACGCCGTGCCGTGAAGGCGGCAAATTTTGGAATGAATATTACATTTTTTTTCATTTTACATCGACACTATTTTGGAGAAATGTCTCGCTCGAGTTAATGCCATTAAAAAACATATACTTTCGATGAACGTCACGAAAAAACTTAAATTTTTATTCTTCACAGTTACCGTAAACAAAAAATAATAATTTAAGTAATTAATAAATAATAATTTATCAAAAAAAAAAAAGTATGCAAAAATAGTGTCGCCGAAAATATTCACTCGCGAATTGTGTGCAACGACAAAATTTCGAGGACGACATGGGAAAAATAATCGTTTTAAATGTTATTATTTCTAGTGTAATTTTTTTTTTTTTTTTTTTTACAATAATAGTTTTTACTGTCATAAAAAGAAATATAAGGGTTTTCGACGAAAATAACACGACTAGATAAGTAATTGTTTTCGGACCTTTTTTAATAGTGGGCGGCGATATGCTTAATAGTGTTGAATTATTTCTACTGAGAGTAATTTTTATGTTGTGTTGAATATTATAATGTATAAACAGATAAATCGATACCTAAATTTTAAACAATACGATTTTGACACTGTCCCTCGAAACCCTGATCGTGTTTGTATAAGTAAAATCAAATTAGTTTGAATTTGGATTTTCCCAATGAAACAAGTCATAATTTCGTGGCTCTAAATACAAGGATCCATCGTTTAATTTAGTCACTAAAATGGATAAAAGTTATAGACAACAAGATGAAAAAATATCAGAAACAAATTTAAGTGAACATGACATTAATGTTCCAGACAATAAAAAATTTGTTTGCGATATTTGTCAGGAGGCATTTGCATTAGAATCAAGTATGTTATCACATCAAAACACAATCCACAACGAACAAAAAATTTACTCATGTGATAAGTGCGAAGAGAAATTTGAGTTCCGAAGTCATTTGAGCAGACACCAAATATCAGAACACAGAAGCCGCAAAGATTTTCCATGCGACCAATGCGAGAAGAAATTCGTGAAAAAATCGAGTTTGTTCACACATCAGAAATTAGTTCACAAAAAACAAGAAGATTTGACGTGCAACAAGTGCAAGAAGAAATTTGAAAATAAATCAACTTTACTCAAACACAAAAGAATATTCCACGAAGTTTTCAAAGATTACTTATGTGACAAGTGCGCCAAGAGATTTGGAAATAAACATGGTTTGCTTGTGCACATTAAGACAGCCCATGAGGGGCGCAAAGATTTTGCATGCTACGAGTGTGAGAAGATATTCGGAAAAAAGTCAGATTTGATGAGGCACCAAAAAACAGTCCATGAAGGTCGCAAAGATTTGCAATGTGACAAATGCGATAAGGCATTTACACAAAAACCGAATTTGCTTTCCCACCAAAAAATAGTTCATGAAAGTCGCAAAGATTTCGCATGTGACAAGTGTGAGAAGAAATTCGGACATAAACAATCTTTGCTGTTCCATCAAAAGATATTCCACGAAGGTCGCAAATGTTATACATGTGACAAGTGCGAGATAAAATTTGGACAGAAATCAAGTTTGCACAGACACCAAAAGACAGTACAC